CAGGTAATTGGTGGGTCACGAGGAGGTATTGCCTAGGGGTCAATGGGGGTGAGAAGGGTAGGAGACCAAGCGCATAAAGAAAGACAGAGTCAGTCTGAATCGCGTCAAGGTCTCGTTTATTGAAGGATAAAGCTTGCTTATATGTAGGGGATTTTGTCGGGGTGGGGTAGGAGGGTAGGAGGAATGGAAAATTTTAAGAGGAAGTGAAGATAAGGTTGGCCTAGGCCCATGTCCCTATGACCGACCAGCCGCAGCCGATTCCGAGAAGTAAAGGAACATCCTGTAAAACATGTTTTGAACAGCTTATCTAAAAAGAACATCTTGTGGTTAGAACAGGCCAGAGCAGGTGGCTGTGCAAGATCTTGCTCGAGATTCTCTTTGGCCCTCAACAATTCCCCCCTCTATACTTAAAAATGAGAGGGGTTCTAAAGCTTTCGTCAGAGATAGCCTCTGTCTTAGGCTGTGTAGGCTGCATCCATGGTCAGGCAACGTGCCATGTTGAGCCGGTCTTGACGACCTCTGTACATTGTTGCTTCCTGCCCCAGGACCTACACATATTCCCATCATTGAGCACTCTCTCACCATTTGACCAGCTTTTAAGGATGAAGGTTATTGAATTTGAGCCTTTGGTCACCAGATCTGGGCTCTTGTTGTGACCTTTGTTCTTCCCCAAGTTCTCCATCAACAGCTAATTTACAGTAATGGACTGAAATATTTCTATGTAGGGCTGAATCAATCTGTCTTTTTATAAGCTGGGTGAGTCGTTGAAAGGCCCATGGGCCAAAGGAAAGAAGAAGAAGAAAGGCAAGGGGGGGGGGGGTATAAGGGTAGGGAGCAGGGTAGACAGCCAGGGGGATCCTTGTAGTCAGTTTGAGAACCATCCTTTTTGGCTTTCAAAATCTCTATTTCGTTTCGCCAATCTGTCTCTCAGGATCTCCATTGATTCCTTAACAATACCAGTATGGTCAGCATAGAAACAACATTCTTCCCTTAAAGCGGCGCAAAGGCCACCTTCCTTAAGGAATAGGAGGTCCAGCCCTCTTCTATTTTGTAAAACCACCTCGGATAGAGAGGTTAGAGATTTTTCTAAAGCAGTGATGGATCTTTCTATAGCCTCAAGATCCGTGGTCATGGCCATTTGTAATTGCAGTAGCTGATTGATTTGCCGGTTCCTATGCCAGCAACAATGCCACCGGATCCCTAGCATAAGGGCAATGGTCATGGAGACAGGCTCTCTCATGACTCTGTGCTGTGCCTGTGAGACAAGGATCTCCCCTGAATAATATTTAATTTGGGCCAAAGCTGCACCAAAATGCAATATTCATGTGAAACATTAAAGCCTGAAGCAAATATGCAGGGCGTTAAGCCTGTATTGCAAGCCCAATAGGTTCCATTGGATGCCTCAAGATAGTAAGTTTCTTTATGGGGAACTATAGTTTTATTGCAAAACTGAGAGTAACTGGAGGGCACCTTTCCTAAACAAAGCCCTTGTCCTGAAACTCTGGGCAGGGTAAGTTGGTGGGGGACAGCCCTGCACCTCGCCGATGGGGAGGTGATATTGGATGTATTGGCCATAAAGGCAATCCCTTCATAATAGGGGGGTTCAGCGGACAGGCATAGCCAGCAATCCCATGTGGAGTTCGGACTGGACACATTCAGGGCCAGGTAGGCTCCTTGTACCAAACTAAACAACCTATCTATGGTTCCCAGGGCCGGACCAACCGATGGGGTAATGGGAGTGGACAGCTGGGCAGGAGATAAAGTAGTCAGCCTGATGAGTTTGAGCGGGCTTAGGTAGAGCCTTTGTCCCTTGATCAGGGAGGACCTGATTTGGGCCTACAGGTTTTGAAGGGGGATCATCCCTTTGTAGTTGAATCATAAAGGCGGTAGCGGGGTCCGTTCCGGACACATAAAGGCAGAGGCCCCAGATTTTTCCTCCTGTCCAATCTGTTTGTTGTTTTCCCAGTTCTGTAAAGGAAATTTTTAGCAAATTACATCGCCCTCCTTCTGTGGAATACAGCCAATGGGATAAAGCCGCATGGCTGGTTATTTGCTCAGCGAGAGGTGCCTGGGAGACTACGATTGTAGGGTTTGACTTTGATAAAGTCAGTAGTCACAGTGGCTGTCCACCAGATATGTCCAGTGCTAACACAACTCCAGGCGGCACAGTAGCCATCCTGGGGTCCATCACATTGAGCAGTTAGGTAACGGCTGGGAGAGTGTCCAGGGCAGACGTAAAAACGGGTCTTTCTAGTCTCTGCCTTATTCCAAGCACAATTACATCCCCATTCAGACGGGTTGGTCCATCTATCTACTATATCACAAAGGTCTACATATAGATCTTGGAACCATTTTCCAAAAGGAAAGTCTGCGGAGGTTTTAGATACGGCAACACCCCCGGTGGAGAGGTTAATGATGGCCCATTTCTGGGGGTTAGGCGTGTGCGGCTGGCTTCCAGCGGCGACAGCGGTCATGAGCATGGAGCAGATAATCTGGAACATAATCTCCAGCCATCTATTTTCCTTTTCTCGAGTTGGCATCTGTAAAAGAAAAGGAATTTGTCTCAGGGAGGCCCCTGGACTCCCATCATATCAAGTGTCATGTGTAGAAAAGGGTTTAACTAATCTTGTCAGTAGCCAGCGGGCTCCATTTTCTTTAGAATTATAAATGCAAGCTGAGCCTTTACCCCAAATTAAAATGGGGTCGGGTCCATTCCAGACTCCCGTAATGGGATCTTTCCATAGAGCTTTTGCATATCCCTGACAAGTCTCTGGGTGCCAATGTCTATCCGCTGCAGATCTTCCCTGCTCGTCAAGGGTTAAAAAATTTAAAACAAAAAGGGTGTGAGCAAGAATAAGTTTTTGATTGCCTTTATGGGGAAACAAAGTTTCTTGTGACTTTAGCTTATTAATGGTGTTTTTTAAGGTTTGATGGGCCCGTCCACCATGCCTTGCCCTTGGGGATTGTAAGGAATCCCGGTAACATGTTTAATTCCCAATTGTAAACAGAACTGTTTAAACTTTGTGCTGGTATATCCCGGGCCATTATCTGTTTTTATAGAAACAGGCTGTCCTAATATGGCAAATGTATGTAACAAATGGCTTGTAACATCTTTATGGCAGCCTCTCCAGTATGGGCAGAGGCAGAAATGAACCCACTATAAATATCGATAGTGACATGAATAAATTTGAGCTGTCCAAAAGCAGGGACATGTGTAACATCCATTTGCCAAAGTTGACCAGGAATTAGACCTCTGGGATTTACCCCTATGTGAGGCTCTGGTAAATATATCAGGCAATTTTTGCAGGATTTAACAATTTCTCTGACCTGATCCCTGGTGATGGAAAACTTTTGTCTTAAAGTCTGGGCATTGAGATGATGGAGCCGATGGGCCTCCTGTGCAGCTGCCACCCCATTCTGTTCAGAGAACAGAACTTGTGGGGCTCGGGTAGCGGCATCTGCTAGTTCATTTCCCAGTGCTAGTGGTCCAGGTAAGCCCGTATGGGAACGAATATGGCCAATAAAAAAGGAAAAAGCCCTCTGGCATATTAGCTTTTGTATTTCTGAAAACATCTTAAAGGTAGAGGTTTGAGGCTGAATTGTAGGTGCCATTTCTAATATTTGTAAGGCCCCCACCACATAGCGGCTATCAGAATATAAATTGAGTGGACAATGGGCAAATTTCTTTAATACCATCAAAGTGGCATAAAGCTCAACCAATTGTGCTGAGGTAAAGGGTGTACTAAAGTAAAGACAACTTCAGTACCCCCGAAAACATAGGCAGCTCGTCCATTTTTTGAGCCATCTATGAAGACCGTATGGGCACCTGGGATAGTTTCCAATTTTGTATTTCGGAGGAAAACAAAGGGGGTGCAGGAGAAAAATTGGAGCAACTTATTGCTTGGTAGCTGGGTATCAAATTTCCCCATATAGGAGCAAGTGAGGATGGCCCAGTTGGGGTGATGGCAGGCCAGCCTGTCTAAATTGTTTTTATCATAAGGCTGTACAACCATTTCAGCTTCTTTTCCAAAATATCTGGTAGAAGTTTTTAAGCCTAATATTATCAGTTGACAAACCAAAAGGGGATAGGTAGGGAGCACCTTTCTCTTAGCACCAGGGAGATGTATCCAGAGCAGGGGAACAGGGTCCTGCCAAAGCAAGGCTGTGGGAGAAAACTCTGTGGAAAACACTATTAAATGTAGGGGCTGGGTGGGAGAAAAATATCCAATATGTTGGGACATAATGGCGGCCTCCACCCTCTCAAGGGCTTGTAATGCCTCAGGGGTAAGTAATCTAGGGGAGAGAGGGTCGGTGTCCCCCTTTAATACATCTTCAAGAGGGCGAATGTCTCCTTTAGTTAACTGTAAGTAAGGGCGCAGCCATTGAATGTCTCCCAAAAGTTTTTGGAAGTCATTGAGGGTGCACAATGAACCTCTTTTTCGTTGAAGTTTTTGTGTGTGTAGAAGTTCTGGGCAAAGCTCAAACCCCAAAAACAAAAAGGGGAATCTTGTTTGAATCTTATCAGGGGAAATACAAAACCCTCTCTCCTGTAAGGCCTGAACCATCAGCATGGCTATCATATATGTTTCCTCAGTGGGTTTGGCAGCTATCAAAATATCATCCATATAATGAATTATATAGGCCCCAGGAAACCTAATTCTGAAAGGGTCAATTGTCTGAGCAACATACTTTTGGCAGAGGGTGGGCAGAGGGTAGCCATACCTTGGGGCAAAACTCTCCATTGAAATCTGGGATTGGGGCCTACCTGATTAACAATAGGAATAGAGAAGGCAAATCTCTTGCAATCATCTTTATGAAGGGGAATAGAGAAAAAAAGCAGTCTTTAATATCTATAGTAACCTTGGCATATCCTCTAGGGATAGCCACAGGTGTGGGCATTCCTGGTTGTAGGGCTCCCATAGGCATCATGGTCTTATTAACCTCTCTAAGGTCTTTAAGGAGCCTCCATTTTCCTGATTTCTTTTTAATTACAAATATAGGCATATTCCATGGGGAGGTAGATGGCTCAAGGTGCCCCTGGTCTATCTGTTCCTGCACCAACAGGAGGGCTGCCTGGACTTTCTCCCCCGATAAGGACCACTGGTCTGTCCACACTGGATCATCTGATTTCCAGGTAATCTTATCAGCGTGGAGTGCAGGAGGGGCAGTGATCCTCAGGAAAAAAGGTGATGGGGCCTGCGCCCAATCCTTTTCTATCTAATTTCTGTTTAGTTAAGATGGGCTGCGTTTGTCCTTGTTCCTCCTTTCCCAGGCCCTTTCCCGGCAGAAACCCTGTCTTTAACATCATTCTGGTGACTGTATCATTGGGGCTCATCATGATGATTCCCATCTGAGTCATTATGTCTCGCCCCCAGAGATTGACCGGGAGGCCATCCACCACGAAAGGCTTTACTGTTCCGGTATTGCCTTCCTCGTCCTTCCATTGTAATAGTTTGGAACGCTGGAGAGTATTTTGAGTCTGTCCTATTCCCTTTAAATGAATGGTAGTCACATCTAATGGCCAATTTTGGGGCCACTGTGCCCTGGATAGGACTGTGGAATCCGCCCCTGTGTCCAGTAAGCCAAGGAAAGGCTTCCCATTCAGCCATAGCCGTAAGGTGGGCCTTTTTAAAGTTAATTGTTGTATCCAATATATATCAGAAGAGCCGGGACTGTCCGAGAGGCCGATCCTTGGATGGAAAGTCTCCAATTATGGGGAGAGGGAGGGCCTGTGCTACGCGCTGGCCCTGTGGGATGATAATGGGTCCATCTGAAGCAGAGGCTAAAATTTTTATCTCCCCTTGATAGTCACCATCCACTAAGGTAGGGAGTATAGAGAGCCCTCGTAATGAGCTCGATGTGCGTCCAATGATCATGAAAACCATACCCGTAGGTGTGGCATAGACCCCAGTCTCTAGGATAACTCTTCCTTCCTCAGGAGTTATAATCCTGGTGGTGGAGGAACAGAGGTCCAATCCTTCACTGCCTGGGGTTGCTCTATACAATCCCGAGCAGGATGAGTCAAATTGCCCGACATTGTTTGGGCATTGGTAAACGGGTTGTTGGATCCCATCTGTGCCTGGTAAGGTCGTTGGGAGGGAGGGCCCCTGCACTGGGGCACCCTGCCCATTTCCCGGGACCGCAGACAGCGGTTGACCCATGGCATCAAATTTGGAGCTGCAGTCCTTAACCCAATGGCATCCTCTCCTACAACATGGGCATAGGCTTGGTCTCATTAGTCGTTGGGTTAGGGCTTGTGCTGGCTGGGCAGTTACAGGCAAAGTGCCCCAGCTCACCACATTTGAAACAGGTTCTTGAGGTGTTTAACTTATTGGCCACTGGGTGGAGCATGGCCCCTATGGCTAGACTGATGGACTTTGAAAGTTTATGTTTGAAAGAATCAACATCATTACAGATCCTAATCATGTCATGGAGGTCTGTTGTCTTTATTTTTCCTCTCAAGGCAGCCTTGCAGGCAGAATTGGCATTTTCAAAGGCAAGTTGTTTAATTATAATATCATTAGTACCGTTTTCCCCTAGTATTCTTTCAGCAGCCTCCAAAAGTCTGGCTACAAACTGAGCATAAGGTTCACTTGCCCCTTGGATGATTTTAGAAAGAGAGGCGCTGACGGAACCCGCTGGGGGAATGGCCTGCCAGGCCCCTAGAGCAGCCTGGGTGGCTTGACTTAACAGCCCCATGGGGAAAGTTTGCTGTGTGCCTTCGGCGGCGTATTTCCCTCGGCCTGTCAGTTTGTCTAAGGTCCATGAGGCTGTTGCAGTATTTTGTTTATTTACTGTGACTTGTGTCTCTAACCTCTCTAGGAGTTCCGCCTTCCAAGTCAAAAACTGGCAGCAGGACAGCACTGATTGGGCAATTTTTTGTCCATTCAGTGGGGAGACGGTGCCCCCCTTGGCCCAAACTCTCCAAAATGGAAATGGTGAACGGGGCCGCAGGGCCATAGTTTTTACTGCTGAATGTAATTCTTTTAAATGTTTTATCTTAAGGGTCTTGACTCTACGTGACCCTGAAGCCTCAGTCATGTTTTGTTCTATTTCTTCAATTTCCTCATCAGACCTAGGTGGGCTCTCATTGTCAGGTGTCTCGGTATCCGGGGCAGATGAATCAGCCTGACCAGCGTGGTCCTGTCTTTGGCCCCCAGATCTAGTTATGACAGGGAAAGAGAAGGAGATAGGTCACCGCCCTTTTACCGGTGTGGGGTTCTTTGAATTTTTCTCTGGGTGGCAGGCTATTGAGGGGGGTCCATCAAGTCAGCTCGCAATGTTTGAACTTGGTCAGAAAGATCTTTTAACTCCTTTTGAAGGGTGATTACATCTTTTAACTGTGAAATCTGGGAGGACAGGGAGCGTTTAGTGGCAAGGAGATTCTCCACCAAGGGAGAGGACAATGCCTGGGACCCAGGGTGAGTGGCAAAGGGAGGGGCAGTGGGGATCTCGGGAGGGACATATGGGGGTGGCTGGTGCCAACTGAGTCTCTTAACCCTATTTCTTTTGGGAACCTGTTCGACAGGAGCCACGAACGGGGGATCATATCTTTCACTTTCATATTTAGCAGCCTCTTCCTCTAAATCTGCCTCTTCTGCGGGGTCCAGCCAATCTTCTGCTCTTTCTTTATGAATAATAGGATACAACAATTTTGTCTTTATTGGGGGATCTAAATTGTTTTCTGAAATTTCTTCATCTATAAGGGAAGGAGTATGTGACTCTGGGTGAGCGCCCTTGTCCTCCGTCTTATTATGGATTTTTACTTCCTCATAATTCTCAGAGAGTTCAGTCAAGAAATGTCCTTTAAGACATTTCTTAAGAATGTCTCTAATAACCCCATAAAAACTGAAAAATGATTCTGGTATCTCTTCTCCCTTCTTGAGGAGGCCGTTAATGTCTTTCCCCACTTTATTCCAACTTAGTGGGTGAATACCTGGTCCATGAATGACTAACCAGGGACATTTTTCCTCCACAAAACAGAAGAATTTTAATAAGTCTTTCTTTTTAACGCTTATCCCTTACTCTTTATCTCTTTAATAAAGAGGGCCTCTTTAGAGACCGTCTTGCCCATGACTATAATTGGACAGCAGTACTTACCTCAAGACGCGGCAGTGCACAAGTGATACAGGGTGTCTCTACCTTGGGTCGGCTAGCCTCCTCTTCTTTTGGTGCTGTCTGGCAACCACCGTGCCTCGAGCCCCACGTTGGGCGCCACTTGACCCGTCCAGCAGACCAGGTAATTGGTGGGTCATGAGGAGGTATCGCCTAGGGGTCAATGGGGGCGAGAAGGGTAGGAGACCAAGCACATAAAGAAAGACAGTCAGTCTGAATCGCATCAAGGTCTCGTTTATTGAAGGGTAAAGCTTGCTTATATGCAGGGGATTTTGCTTGGGGCGGGGTAGGAGGGTAGGAAGAATGGAAAATTTTAAGAGGAAGTGAAGATAAGGTTGGCCTAGGCCCATGTCCCTATGACCGACCAGCTGCAGCAGATTCCGAGAAGTAAAGGAACATCCTGTAAAACATGTTTTGAACAGCTTATCTAAAAAGAACATATTGTGGTTAGAACAGGCCAGAGCAGGTGGCTGTGCAAAATCTTGCTCAAGATTCTCTTTGGCCCTCAACAAGGACCACCAGACAGAAACTTAGCAAAGAAACAAAGAATCTAACAGAAGTTACCACCTAACTGGATTTGATAGATATCTGCAGAACATTCCATCCAAATACAAAAGAATATACCTTCTTCTCAGCGCCACATGGAACCTTCTCTAAAATTGACCACATAGTTAGCAACAAAGCAAACCTCCACAGATACAAAAGAATTGAAATAACTCTTGTATCTTATTAGATCACCATGATTTAAAGTTAGGATTCAACAGCAATACGAATTGCAGAAAACCAACAAACTCGTGGAAATTGAATAATATCCAATTGCACCATTCCTGGGTTGAGGAAGAAATTAAAGTCTTCCTAGAATTTAATGAGAATACAGCAAAACATATCCAAACTTATGGAACACTCGAAAGTAGAGCTAAGAGGAAAGTTTTAGCACTAAGTGGCCACATGAAGAAACTGGAGAAATGTCACACTAGAGAATTGACAGAAAACTGAAAGCTTTAGAGCAAAAAGATGCAAACTCACCACAGAGGAGTAGACACCAGGAAATAATCAAACAGGGCTGAAATCAATAAAGTAGAAAGTAGGAAAACATTAGAAAGAATCAATGAAACAAAGTTGGTTCTTTGAGAAGATCAACAAGATAGACAGACCTCTATCCAAAGTAAACAAAAGGCAGAGAGAAAGCATGCTAATTAACAAAATTAGAAACGAAAAGGGGGATATAACAACAGACACCAAGGAAATCCAGAGAATCATCAGGTCATACTTTGAAAACCTATACTTGACAAAATTTGAAAATCTAAAGGAAATGGACAGTTTCGTGGATAGATATCACTGAAAAAAATAAACCAAGAACAGATAAGCAGTATAAAACAAACAATAACACATAATGAAATAGAAGAGGTCATCAAAAGCCTTCCAACCAAAAAAAAAAAAAAAAAGCCCAGGGCCAGATGACTTCACTGCAGAATTCTACCAGAAATTAAACAACAGCTTATACTAGTACTCCTCAAATTGATCTACACAATGGAAGCAGAAGGGACATTGTCAAACTCTTTTTATGAGGGTACATTCACTTTGATACCCAAGCCACACAAAGATACAACTAAAAAAGAGAACTACAGAGCAATATCCCTCATGAACATCAATTCAAAAATACTCAAGAAAATATTGTAGAATTGAATCCAAGAATGAATCAGAAAAATCATCCACCATGATCAAGTAGGCTTCATCCCAGGGATGTAAGGATGGTTCAGCATAAGAAAATCCATCAATGTAATGCACCATATAAACAAACTGAAAAAGAAAAACCACATGATCATATCACTAGATGCTGAAAAAGCCTTTGAAAAAATCCAACATCCCTTCATGATAAAGATATTTCAGAGAAAAGGAATGACAACATATGTAAACATGATAAAAGCAATATACACCAAACCAACAGTCAACATTAAACTGAATGGAAAGAAACATGGGGGACCAAAGTATTTCCACTATGGAATATTTTGAGATCCAGCCTTTGGTCTCACTAAACATGGAGCACTGGAAAGCTCCGACCTACTATTGTATTGTTAATGCCAGTAGGGCTACTGTTGTTTACCATGGCCTCAGGGTAATATGCCTCCTATTTGCATCTCTGTGAGCCTAAGCATCTGAATAGGCCCTCACCTGGGCAGAGGTTTGTGAGTAACTTGTGAGGACAGGAGGTTAGGAGTTAGGGGCGAGCGACCAGAGAGCAGAGAGGGAACAAAGAGAGAAATGGTTCCCTCGTGGTATTGGCAGGTTGACTAAGAAACACCAGAAAAGATGGCTAATAAAGAAATGACTCTAGTTCTACAACATGGAACTGAGAGCTCTCTGAAGATGACAAGATGCCTGTGTTTGCTCTTTATTGCCGTTGGGTTGCTGGGATCTTCCAGGTCCACACACCCCCACTCAGGCCGAACCTCATGGCTGTCATGGGTTAAAGCTGAGACAAGCCCAGTCACGACAAAATGGCGCCACCATGATGCAGCATTTCGAGTTGCGCAGGGGCTTGGGAAGACATAAATGCGGCCTTGCATACGCGCAGGCCCTCAGGAGATATCTAGTAATGTAATGGAGAACAGAAAACTCCGCGCCTACTTAGGGGCAGCTGGATGGTAAAGAATATACAGGACAAATGGTTGGGATGAGCAGGGAGAGAGAGTTAATAATTACCAAGATGGAGTCTTCACCACCTACATTTTAAGCTTGGAATACAGAAAGGCAAATACTCAATGGTAAAATTCAGCTAGAGCTAAGAGACTTGGAAATTTGAGCAAAATTACTTACAGGAGATAAGAAATTTACAGGTTTCCTTGGATCAGAGACAGCGGCTCAGGGGAACATAGCAGGATACATGTGCCAATACCATTCAAACAGCTCTAGGAACTAAAACTGGCTTGTGTTCAGTATGGACCAACAGAGGCTGATAGGGAATATTGCTGTAGAAGCGTCACCCCTAGGAAATTGACCAAAGGTAACCATGGCCTGCCAGTCAGGAGGAGGATATTTGTTATAGAGAGCAGGCAGGGACCTAGGAAGTTAGTTCAGAATTGATTTCTAGGCCTGTATGGACATTATACAAAAAAGTTAGAGACACAGGTGTTGGAACTTTGTTTATGAAACAGCTAGCTTATGAGAATGCTGGTACTGTATGCCAGACCACGCTAAGGCCTCACAGGAAGAGGACTGACGTGGTGAGTTCATTGAGAATATTTCAGATGTGGACCTAGCTTACACTCAAGGATTAGCGATGGTGGCTGCCTTATAGGAAATTCAGTTAAAAATAAGTTATTCCTACACAGAAAGCAAGGCATAGGGAGGAAGAAATACACAGATCCTTCTAGAGGTTGCTTTGGACATGTTCAGGAAGAGCACCAGGTCAGACAGAGTCCCATCAAAAGAGAAAATAAGGGATCAGACTTGTGCCCAAAATACAGTCACAGATTTTTTCAGTGTCCCAGAGGGCATAGTCGAGCTAAGGCCAAGGTCAGCAGTGGCAGCGACTTCGGTCTGCTAGCCCTTAGCCAGTGGCTTGGTGCCACCTCGTGCAGGCATCTGCAGCAGGCTAGACAAAATGGCTGATGGGGCAGCGGACAGCCTGCCTCCTCATGGCAATTTATAGACTTGGGAGATGCCACCATGGCTGATGGCTAGTCAATGTATATAAATGCTATTGATACAGCCAGACAGAAATTGGTTTTGAGACTTATAGAGAAGAAAGGGCAACATATTTAAGCTTAGAATTGTTCAAATTTTGGATGCTCTTATTTCAAGGATTAGAAATTTCAATTAGGGATTTTCTTTTCAACAAACTGATCATAACCTAGGCAAAAGGATAAATGTGAGACGTATGCAAGTTATGAATGAACAGTGTGGCCACACATGGATGCATGATGTGATTGTGAATTTATGAATGCAGATGAATGAAAATGACTAAATTGCCTAGGATATGATTAGAGAGGTATTTACATTGCCTCGGATATTGTTTAAAAAACATAAAAATCACTTTAATATGGTCAAAAAGAGCATCCAGTCAGTCAGTCAATGTCTTAACAGGAAAAATTAATGATTTGAGCCCTAGGAGATTGTCAATTAAGAAGATAGCAAAAGCCTATAGTGTTAGCTTAGAGACATGAGAAATCTATGGATTATTCTGTAAAATTTGGCAGATGAGAGGATACAGGTCTTACTAAATTTTTATGGTTAAAAAAGGAAATCTAGAAAATAAAAGTTGATACATGATTTTAAAAAGGATTTGTGAAAAGACTCAGGAGAGAGCCATCTGGTTAGATTCACAGCCTAAATGTGCCTTTACAAATGCAAATTAAGGCATGTCAGCTAAGATGCAAATGAGGTCTTATCAGCTTGTCAGCTTCGAAGGTTAGATTAGAGAAGGCTACTCAGAAACTATAAATAAATCTGAAAAATTTCAAAGGACATGTTGTATTCTAAAGAAATTAAGGCTTAATAGATAGCAATTGGAAAAGATAGTTTAAAAATCTTTAAATGAGTATTTTAGAAATTTTTATAAAATATTCATTGGTTAAGTACCTTTTTTGGGATATCTAATGATGATTTAAATCCTTTAAGTAAGATTCTATAAGGAGATAATGATCCAGATGTACCCAAACAGCTAACTAAAAAGGTAGACAAGTTCTATCATTAGAGGAGGTGATTCAGCATCATCAGATATATTGACTATGCAAAACCATGGGAAACTTATGTGCTCCCCACAAAGCATAGTCCAACTTCTGTTCTATGGCAGAAGGAACCATTACTATGGTTGCACCAGCCTAAATATTTTAAACCCTTATTTTAAAGCACTATCCCACATGGTACAGAAATGACATATAGTTTCTAAGAAGTATTTTAGGAGAGAAACAAGTATGATACATGTCCCCTACTCTAAGCAACAGTTTAATTGGTTATTTCAGAACAATGAGTCATGGGCAATTGTCTTTGCTCAGTTTTCAGGAAGAATTGATAATCATGTTTTAGCTCATGGACTGTTAAAATTTACACTAATGCATCCTTTTGTGACCCATCCAGCAGGCCAGGTAATTGATGGGTCACGAGGAGGTATCACCTAGGAGTCAATAGGGGCGAGAGGGGTAGAAGACCAAGCACATAAAGAAGGACAGAGTCAGTCTGTGTCGCGTCAAGGTCTTGTTTATTGAAGGGTAAAGCTTGCTTATATGTAGGGGATTTTGCTTGGGGCAGGGTAGGATGGTAGGAGGAATGTAAAATTTTAAGAGGAAGTGCAGATAAGGTTTGCCTTGGCCCATGTCCTTGTGACCGGTCAACCGCAGCCGATTCCGAGAAGTAAAGGAACATCCTGTAAAACATGTTTTGAGCAACATATCTAAAATAGAACATCTTGTGGTTAGATCAGTTCAGAGCGGGTGGCTGTGCAAGATCTTGCTCGATATTCTCTTTGGCCCTCAACACTTTTGTATTTCCAAAATTGTAAAAAACAGTCCTATAAAAATATGTTATGTTAGTTTTTACCAATGGTTCTATTGAGAGAGTCATTTGCATAGGTTATTAATAGAAAGGAATAGATAAAGCAGACCGCTCTGGCTTCAGCTCGACTAATCAAACTGCAAGCTGTTGCAATGGTCTTGCAGATCCTGGTAAATAATTCATTTAATTTTAATA